GCCAGTCATGCTCCGTATACCGATATAGCATCTCGGTGCTCAGCCCACATGGTGCACATACCTTACACCTACCATACAAACTTGTCTGCACTCTCGGAATGTGTTCGTTATACACCCCGCAGCCAGAAATAAATCCCAGGAAATATTCATTCAGGGGTGTAGAGCAGACATTCAGGGCAAGCGAATTGTAGTCAAGGAATACATTTGTTGAGTCCTGAATCTAGTTGTCTACCAACAGTATCTCATTCATGAGAGTCACAGCACGGGCCCACTTCAAAGCACGAGGAAACCAGATCTCCAAAGGCAACATAATCTTGTACTCCTTGCGCGCTCTGCCAACGCGAATGTTTTCCATTGTCGGATAAACAGCATCTTCATCATCCTCATCCAGCTCTTCCTCCAAAGCGCGCTGAAGCCATTCAGCCTGAGTGACCATCATATCACCAGGTATCTCCCCCCGCTCCTCCCTCGCAGACAGCTCCTCCCAAAATACAGTCTCCTCCTCTATCGACGCGAATGGGCAGCGCTTATCCGGGACATCAATAGGATCATGACGTATATTGGCCTGCTGGTCAGAGCCAATATGGCGAGCAACCTCGGCCACATCACCAGTGATGGCGTCCCCATTGAAAGCCTCAACTAATGTTTCAATGTCGAGTGCATCAACATCACCTTGTGCTGCATCCGCTATATCCTGTGCCTGTGCAGGCTCAGGAATGACCGGTCCATCCTCTTCATCAGACGAGTCATCGTCAGATGAGTCACCAGAGTCACTATCCGCGGCAGTGACTGTCGATTCACCACGGCGAAGACGGGTAACTCCGTGATAGCGCTGGAGAATCTCAGGATGGACATCGGCATGTAGATCGAGTGAAGGAGAGGTATAGACACCATTCTCCACAACTGAAGCGAAGCGCATTTGCTACAGGCAATCAGTAAAGTGCATGTTTGAGCAGAGTGAACAACGCACAAGAGGCGTTTGACTGCTTTCCGTCCGGATAGGGTGACGGTTCCACTCCTCCTGGAATGTTGCACAGTCTTGATTGACGGCATCAAGGAAGAGAGCATGCAAGAGCCAGATATGGTGCGGATTCTTACGGTCAAGGCCGTGGAGACGCTCAAGGCGCAAGAAGAAGGCCCGCCAGCGACGCGCGTACTGAATACCAACGTCCAGCCATAGCCGCTCAATCCTCTGGTTCTTCGTAGAGCTAGTTCGTAGAGTTAGCTCTCATTATCAGATTGATACAAATGTCACTCACGAGCCCCACATGAAAGAAGCCCTGTTGGGACCACGCATCATGATCATGTATATGCATACAAGAATGTTCTCCCCGCCACGGTCTCCACGGACTCGCAATGGCAGATTGAACCGGCGAACAGCATCAATGAAGTCATTGAGAACTGTAGATGGACGGTTGTCACCATGCGCACGTATCTGTAAAACCTGAATGCCACTCAGTATATGGGTTATAAAATACAATAAGAGATGTGCTAACAGTGCGATCATAACCATCAATGACACCATGAATGACAATTCCATAAAGGATGAGTTTATGATGACCATCGATATGCCAGAGATGGTTCGAGCGTGGTACGGAATAGACGCGACGCTCGATGTTGTGGTTACGACGCAAGACATGGCCAAGGGGGTCAACACGGCGAAGAGCCTGGTTGATGCGAGCATTCTGAAGCTTCAGATGGAGGTTCCGGATGAAGCCCTGCGCCATGCGCTGCCCACCCTCGGGACGATTAGTCTTGTACACCATCAATAAGGCATCCAGCTCCTCGTCAGTTGTATCTGAAAAGGAGTAGTCGATACCATACTACCGGGCGTTCTTTCGAACAGTGTCCCTGCTGAGATTGAGCAACTGTGCAATCCGCGAGATTGTGAATTTGTACTGAGGACGCAGAGCCTCGCGCAGCCAGCTCTCTCGTATGCGGATAGTGGGACGGCCAGGGCGACCAGTGTGCTCGTGATATATAGGGTCTTCTCGTAGAATCTCGCGCTCGGTCCTCAAGCCACGATATTAGCTTGACATTATATTGACATATTGACTTCACTCACTTGTCTTGACGAGAGTCTGCAGCCGAACGGAGTTTATAGATAGCAGAACCCAGCTCCTCAGCTGCAGTACAAGCCCAGCCATATTCAGAGCACTCTCTAGTGAGCTCGAGCAGTAGAGGGAATATGTTGGTTTCCAGTGTCTGGGCAAGAGCACGTAAACGAATGGGATCCCCATCCTCTTGAGCGAGAATGCGCTGAGCCTGAGAGTAGACAGCACTGATGATCTGAAAGGCACGTCTTGCATTGGGTGAGTATGCACTCTGTGCTGCAGTTCGCACTGGGAGACTGAGTAGATGAGCCATAATGTGGGTCAGAACAAGATGTGTTCGTCGCGAGTGCCGATAGTCGCGAGTGCGAGCCACTCTCCCACGGTCTGGCCTTGTCGCGACTCTCGCAACTCGCGACAAACTTGCGAGCTTCGTCACTTGGCTCCTACCTCGATGAACATCTCTACTCAACCTGCCCTTGCTAGCACTGGCACTAGTCAAACTGGTGGTCATGGCACAGTTAGCAGTAGCCAGCCTGTCACTGCTACCGAGCATGCTGGCCTTGCACAACGCTCTGGCCTGTATATTGAGGGAGATGATCGATTCATTGTCTTTGTGACGGTAAAGATCGTACATGTACATGCAGGGTGTTGTTGCTAATAAGATGCTAGACTGATAATGTCCTGTACCGGCTTCCAGTTGTCATTCTACGGAACATATCATCAGCAGTCGATGGCGTGTTCTCGATTCCTGCAAGTGATGACAAGGAGGGCTCCGACGATGAGCATGCTGTTCAACTGCATGTTTCCTCAGAGCAGTACCGCCCAGTTCATGAGCTCATACTTGGCCCGACGTGAGTATAACATCTGGTCATGGGGATAAGAGCTGATTTAGCATGGTACAGAGTACCCGACCGCACCTTCAGTGGGCTTGAGCTCTTTCATGTCATTGTGCTCGCACATCGCTGGGGGATGCCCTGGATGCATTGTCTTACCCTGATGTTTATAAGGGATCTGGATGGTGACCTGGACCTTCCAAGCCATCTCCGCCTCATTCTCGCTGTCCGCTACCGAGTCGAGACTTTGCTCGAGCCCGCTTTCCGAGAGCTGGTTCGCATGGATATGCAGCTCATCACGAACGAAGTTTGCGATGCACTTGGGATGCCCATTGTCCGTATCATCTTCGCCCTGAAGATTGACCTTGCCCGGCTCCCTCGTAAACTGGCGGCTGAGATGCCGACCTTCCAGTACGATCCCAGATGCCGCAACAATGACAAAGGTCACACATGCCTCGAGGGCTGGCGTCGGAACTGGTTTTACAGGGTGGTCCCTCAACTCGTCAACCACGAACATCCCTTGCCGGGACCGGTTGAACCTGATGCCTTGACAAGGCTTGTGGGAAAACTGGAGGGGGTGTGCGACCTGTGCCATAGAAACACTATAGACGTCTTCGGGTTTCTTGAGGACACAGAGGTGTTCGACAGCGAAGAGGAGCTGTACAAAGCAGCACTTCGGGAGCTCCGTGGACTCGGAACATACTTCTGATACATTGATTGTAGCCGCTATGTATCCTACAGACAATATACCCTATCAAAGTCGAAGTACATGATGACCAAACTGGGGCTATTCGCCTTCAAAATATGACACCACTCGTAAAACAAGGCGGACTTTGTCACTTGTAATGGCTACCAAACAGTAAATCTGCACTACACGCATATGGGAAACCCAGTTTCAGCCGAAATGGGTATGATCTAAGACCGTTGTGGCCAAACCCGAGTCACTCACCTGGAGGTCGAGGAGAACATCACGGGTGTCAAACGGAAGCGGGTTCTGCAATAGGCGCTAGCTATGAGACAATAGCGCCAACCTGTGCGACTATGGGACACTTGCATTTAGCCAAAACGGGTACCAACCGAGACCACAGCGGCCAAAACGGGGTCATTCACCTATAGGTCGGGGGGAACATGACGGACATTGAGAGAGGGGCGGTATTGCAATGTGCGTTGGCTGTCAAGCAATAGTGCCGACCTGTGCGAGTACAGGGAGCCTGGTTTCAGCCCAATTGGGTATGAATTGGTGGTACAGTGGCCAAAACGGGATTGCTCACCTGTGAGGTTGCGGAGTATATGAGATAGCTCACAAATGAAATGGACTTCACTATTTGCGCTGGCTATGAGACAATGACGCCGACCTGTGCAAGCACAGGGAGCCTATTTTCAGCCAAAACGGGTAAGATTTGATATCGTAGTGGCCAAACCGGAGTTGCTCACCTGGAGGTCGAGGTGAACATCACGGGCAACGAACGGAAGCGCGTTTTGAGACGTGCGCTGCCTATGAGACAATAGCGCCGACCTGCACGAGTACGGGGAGCCCAGTTTGAGCCCAAACAGGTCTATATCGATAGCACAGCGGCCGAAACCGAGTTGCTTACCTGTGGCACAGAGAACATGGTGGGTGTCGAAAGAGCGGGAGGGGCGCAATGTGCGTTGGTAATCAAGCAGTGGTATCGGCCTGTGCAAGTACGATGACCCCGGTTTCAGCCAAAACGGGTAAGATCTGATGGTACAGTGGCCAAAGCCGAGTAGCTCACCTGTAGGTCGGGGGGAACATGACGGACGTCGAGAGAGGGCGGGTATCGCGATGTGCATTGGCTATCAAACAATATTTCCGACCTGTGCGAGTACACTGAACCTTGTTTCAGCCCAATCGGGTATGAATTTGTGGTACAGTGGCCAAAACGTGGTTGCTCACCTGTAAGGTTGCGGAGTACATGAGATAGCTCGCGAACGAAACGGACTTGACTATCTGCGCTGGATATTAGACGATGGCGCCAATCTGTGCGAGCATAGGGAACCTATTTGTAGCCAAAACGGGCGAGATGCGAGATCATAGTGGCCAAAACGGGTTCGCTCACCTTGAGGTCGGGGAGAACGTGACGGATATCGAACGGAAGCGGGTTCCATGATGGGCGCCGGCTATGAGACAATAGCGCCGACCTGTGCGAGTACGGGACACTCTTATTTAGCCAAAACGAGTACAAATTAAGGCCACAGCGGCCAAAACGAAGTTGCTCACCTGGAGGTCGGGGAGAACGTGACGGGTGTTAAACGGCAGAAGGTATGGCAGTGTGCATTGACTATTATGCGATAGCACCGGCCTGTGCGAGTACAGTGAGCCTATTTTCAGCCAAAACGGGTAAGATCTGATGGTACAGTGGCCAAAACCGAGTGGCTCACCTGTAGGTCGGGG